CTTTCCCTCACTGCCGTGTTTCTCATTCCTCTGGTTTCTTACTTCTGCTTTTGCTTACAACAGAAAATGCTGAACATGTATAAACTGTCCTTATGCTAGAGACAGCTCTATGCTGAACTGAATTTTGCCTCTCTTATTTTATAGTAAACATTGATATTTTCCCCTTCTTACCATGGAAACGGTATCTTTACTTTCTTGAATATTATCGTCAGTCATCTTCCTTTGGTTTTCTCTGCAATAGCTTCAGAAAGTTTCAACAACTGGCTGGATCCTCAGCTGGGGTAAATCTCTTTTTGCATAGAGTGAGGTGGCTTTTATACCAATGCAGGCTCTGACTCAGTGCTCCTGATGAGCAGGGTGCCAATGCAACTACAAGAAATGAGGTGGGCAGGGGGTAGTTCAAGTGCATTGCCATCCCAGCTCACCATTACACTATATTATGAGCACCATTGTGGCATTGTACTGCTTGGATTCTATTAATGGGTTATTTTTGTCTTTTATGAATCTAGCTTCAGGATTTTGTTTTTAGTAAGAAAAATCTCCTTATGGTGATCTAGTTCAGTTCCCAGTAGTACACATCACAAAAGAACCCAGGGCAACTGAGTCTTGTTGGCACTCTTGTCAGCAGACGGAGAGACTAGAGACCTGAAGGGGTGGTGAAGTGGTTCATTTGGGTGTTGGGTGGGTCATATTAGTGGGGAAAACAAACTGAATGTTTGCACTGTCTGTACTTGTTCTGTGAACAAATAGGTAGCTTTGATTTCCAGGGCACTTTGTCTGGTGCCCTTCACTAGGCGCACACATGCAAACTTTAAAGTGCAAACCTGATTCCTTCTCGGTAGGTGCTAATTTATTGAACCATGGCCATTTTCTTTGCTTTTTCAGTCTGTGACTGCAATGGGAAGTCCAGGCAATGCATCTTTGACCAGGACCTGCTCAGAGAAACAGGAAATGGCTTCCGCTGCCTCAACTGCATGGACAATACTGATGGGGTTCGCTGCGAAGGGTGCAAGGAGGGGTTCTACCACCAGCAAAATGGAGAACATTGCTTGCCATGCAGCTGCAACCCGAGAGGTATGAGAGATGCAAGAATGTGTCAGCGAGGAGCCTAGGAAAGAGGAGGAGGAGAGTGAATGAAGGGAAAAGAGCTGGTCCAGAAGTGCCCAAATCCAACAGCTGTCATGGAGCTGCTGCATTTTGGCAATTACAACTTGGGCCTAATTCTGGTGGATTAAACCAAATGGATCCCAAGCTACATCCCTCCTCAGCTGCCACTGTGATGGTCACGCTGCATGGTCCCATTTGTCACTATCAGTGCGATGTTGTGAAAGGATTTTCACAGCATGAGCAGCTGTGGTGAAGTCATATGGGGCCAACAGAAATGCATGGGTGTGCACTCGCTTTGGTATCTTGGTGGTGGTGGCTGCTGCCTGCCATGAGAGTTCCAAGTGGCAGAGGCAGCTGAGCGCAAACAAGGCCTGAGCATCTCCCAACCAGGCCCATTTAAATCTGTTGAATGAGCTAGGATTCTTGCAAGTCCAGCAGACCTAGAGCAGAAGGGTGTAAGATCAGCCCAGAAGAGCTTCTGGAAACTGTCCTGCTTCACATGTTGGCTAGAAAGGCTGCCACCAGAGCGTACTGACATAAATGGAATCTAAGCTAGTGTTCACTCAGGACTAGGTTTGCTGAACGTAATTCCTAAATTCAGAATTGTAATCACCCCCCACTCCTGCCACCTATAGATTAAGACAGTGCAAGTAAAGACAGGGGAATTGAATAAGAGCAACTCAACCTCCACAGTCCTTTCACGTCTATGGAAGAATCATAGCCCAGTTAAGTGCCTCACAGCAAATCATGCAAGTTCCTCAGAGCATAGGTTAGATGGGGAGTGTATGGGGCTTGGCATTGCAGGGGCACGCAAGGCAACAGGCTACCTAAGGGAGTGAGGTCAGAATGCAGGTTTTACCATTGCCACTTCTCTTCACCCTCTGCAGCATGTCAGAAGGTCACCATGTCACTTTTAATGAGTAGTGTGCTCTAACATCAGCCATCTGTAAGGGGCTGTCAGCAAGCACAAGCTGGGGGTGACCCAAAGTTGATAATGTTTGATGGCTGTTCAGAGATCCTCATGCAATGTATTTTTTAGTCTCAGACCAGACCCCATGGGAAAAGGCATTCACATCAGAAAGGATCTTAACCAAAGCCTGCTAGAAGGATTTAAAAGGCTTCCACCAAGTGATGGAGTCAAGTCTAATGTCCTATCACATTTTGCAGTCATTGGCAATTTTGCTAGAGATGAGTGACTGTGACTGGATCATGGGAGTGAAAGGATCACTCCCAAGTTTGAAGCAAGGTGTCTTGGGGTGGGAGGTGTATAAAAAAGCCAACAATGCTGATGTACAATTTTGTGGATTAAGAGAAGGCTTTGGTGTGTAAAACCATACTCTCCTGCCTTCCATCTGCACTGCTACTCTAGGAGGGGATAATAGATAAAGTGCACATGACATGAATGTCTTCTCTACTGCTTATGGAACAGATGAGAACTCATGCTGTGACAAGAGATGGGCCTTCATGGTTTCTCAACGTTTTTCACTATATTTCAGTGATGATGTGGCCTGCATATCTACTGTAGAGCCAGTCCTGGTGGTGGTGATCAGATTTTTGTATCTGCGGAAAACTGGTGTTTCATAAATATCAGGTTGAGAATCCTATGGAAATTCTGAACATGTTGTTTGTCTGTAAGCACAGAAATCAAATCATTACAACCGCTCATTAAACCTGAAAAGTGCCTGACCAGCAAAGTCGAGAGGTAGTCTTTTAATTGCTGGTTGGCTAAAAATCTAGGACAGAATGTCTCCCAAGTACTATAATAGAAAAGGATACAGAATATGTTGTGAATGTATAGTGGTGGGAATGTTAACTTCTGTTCTGTTTCCCTGTCACCCAGCCAGGGTGGACAGTGATCACCAGTTCAGAAGGATGGTACAAGTCTGATGTCCTGTGAAAAAACTTAATAAATGTCCTGGCCCAAATCCTCAGATGACTTGAATTAATGTAGTTGCACTGAAGTTGGAGTTACACCAGTTTATACAAGCATAGGATCTACCACAAAGGAAGCAAATCTCTGGTTATCTGGTGTTTCCTTGAGTCTGTCATGTCCCTATGTAATAGTACTGGAATTACTGTAGCACAGAAGATCCCTTAAGATTCCCTCAGTTCCCACAGCTTGAAGTCCCAAGCTGCAGGAACTTGAAGTCCCTTGGTTGAAGTCTCCAACTTTCATGGGGGATGTCATAACAATTTCCACAGCAAAAACTGATATTGTGAGCCCGTTTCATGTGGGGAACTGGAAGCAAGGGCAGGAGAGAGATTAAAATGAAGGAGTCTGCCAGAAGTCAGATAGCTGATACCCGTCCTGCAAAAATGAGGGAATTGGTTATAGACCAATACATAATTAATGATGAAATTTGCCTTAGACTAGGAAAGTTTTCCATTTTTATTCCCTGAAAGGCTCCAGCAAGTGTTGTTAATTTCCCCTTATGTTCCCGGGGGATACTCTTGGTGGGGTGGTAACTACTGAGAAGTCTATGATGGTAAGCACTATTTCATTCTCTGCTTCTCCTGTTCCTCCAGGCTCCCTCAGCCCACAGTGTGATAACCACGGCCAATGCAGCTGCAAACCGGGCATGACAGGAGAAAAATGTGACCGATGCGAGCTAGAATTCACCTCTCTCTCAGGGGCTGGGAGCAGGGGAGATGGACAGCTGCCGTAAGTACCACATACAAACTGTGCTGGCAGGACTGTCCTTTCAGAGTTTCCTTTTCTGCAGCAAATTTCCAGTGCTATCTGAGTATTTATAGGGAGCATATGATGGCTGGAGAGCTTTATCCTTGGTCAGTATGGACAATTTATGTTATCACAGCATCTCTCTCCCTCTCTGGTCATGAGACCATGGGGAGAGGCCTGTATCTATGACCCTAATCCTTAAAATTGCTGCTGCTGTTATTCTAGAAGCAATCACATGCTGGCTGTAAGGATGGAAGGGGGAGTGGACATTACCATAGCTCTCCAGTGTACCACTCAGCTCAAGCAGCAATGGTGTCCCTTTCCACAGGTGAAGTGCCTCTGACCTCCACAGATCCTGGAAACACTCATCCTGTACTGGTTTCTCTGCTCTTGTCCAGTTCTGTTTGCCTAACTCAAGCTTAAAGACACATATTCAAAGCAGGTGGAAGAGAAACCTTTCCAGGCATAGCACACAATTAACCTGTGGAACTCACAGCTACATGACCTCACTGAGGCTAAGAGCTTGACAAGATGTGATAAATAAAACAAACTCTGTCTTGATGTCTGAATAGCACCTGGCACTAAAACACACCTGTCTGGTTGGAGACTCTAGACATTACCATGATGCACATAAAGTAGGGCTATAAATGGTCAGGCTCCCATATATTACTCAAGATAGAGCCAGGGGTTAGGAGCAAAACCTTTTGCTTGGGCAGGTTGTCCCAGAATTGCCCTTATGGGGCTTCTTTCTTGCACCTCCCTCTGAATTATCTGGTGCTGGAGACAGTGCTGGCCTAGCTGGACCACAGGCCTGGTCCAGCGTCCACTAAGATCTCAGCCTGGGTTCTGTGAACAAGTGGTGGGAATAGGGACCATCCTGTTGTGTTTGTTAGTGAATAGGGAGGCAGTCTGTCTAGGTAGTAGATAAGGGCTGAGAACCACTGCAGTGTGGTAAGTCCCGTGCATTGACCAGAATGGCTGCTCCACTGGTAGGCTGGTGAGACTGCATTGTGTATTTGCTGCGTGTGTTAACCATGCATAAGCAATTTGTTAAACTGAGCTGCAAATCAATCAGAGACTCTTGTTTCTTTCTTAGGAGCTCTCAGTGTGTCTGTGATCCAGCTGGCAGCACAGGGCACTGCATTTCAGGACGCTGCTTCTGCAAGACAGGCACCACAGGCGAGCAATGTGACAGGTGAGTGCGCTTGCTCAGTGCTTCCACCGAGTGGTTGGTAAAGGCTCACTCTTAAACAAGCACTGCAGACCCAGGGGCCTGTTTTTTTGTGCAGATCAGTGAGGAGGAATGTTACCTGGCTCCACAGGAAGTAATTTCTAGTCAGTCCCAAAGCCACCTTCCCTCGCTTCCCTTTCTGCCTTCTCCCCAGAGTCCCAAAACTTTTGCCACATAGGCCTGAGGGATACTGCCTGACCTTTGCTTTCCAGGGACCATCACTGGGCCTGAAGCCTTCAGCACTTGTCACTTCCCTTTGCAAGAATGCCCTATGGGTCTATTCTGGGGGCCTGATTATAGAGGATAATTGTAGTGAGTGACAAATGTCTCATGTGATGTACACACTAGCTAGGAATCAGCTGTGCTGCAGAAGCAAAGTCCCATTTTCCCTCCGCCTCATATTTGTGTAAAAGAAAATAAAGTGCCCCAAAGGTGAGCTTTCAAAGCCAGTCCCAGCACCACCCGCAGCCAGGAGAAATACATGGCTAATTGCCAATCTCTGGAGATAGAGCTGTGTTGAGGCAGGTGGAGCTGCAAGGCAGGATCCTCCCCAGACCTGCTGCAGTGCATTCCTCAGGTACGAACTGTGCTCTGTCAGGAGCTCCTCCCTTCTGTAAGACAGATAAGGACAAAGGGCGGGCAGGGAGGTGCCCATCCAGCCCAGGGATGAAAGCTTGCACTTGTTTGCATGTGTATATAGGAGCCAAGTGTTTGAAGTTGGAGCCAAGGAGCTCAGCACCTATCTCTTTAGAAATCCTTGATTTAGCTGGTGGTAATGAGTTTTTTCACACAATGCCACATGGCATTCAGAGCTTGCGGTCTTTAAATGGCCAGTGTGCTTTGTGCTGTTTGCCTTTCATGGCTGTGTGCAGACTTACACATGCATTACAGCAGATGAGGGGACACATCCAGAATGTGATGTCAGATGTGCTGTGATGATATACAGTAAAACTAAGGCAGGGTTAATGCTATTTTGTACACAGGTGCAAGCTGGGCTACTATAACCTGGATGCAGGAAACCCCGAGGGATGTTCCCAGTGCTTCTGTTATGGGCATTCAACCACGTGTAGCAGCGCAGAAAATTACAGTGTCCACAAAATCACCTCCAACTTCCAGCAGGGTAAAACTCACCTTCAGTGTTTGCATTGCTGGGCTTTGTAATTTACTCCCTATGGAAAGTTTGGGGTTCTGGCATGCAGACTGCAAATTCTCCTTTCACCTGGTGTTCTGGGGGTGGGTGGAGAGGTAGAAGACCATCCCCCATAGAAGATCCCCTCACAGTCCTCTAACCCCAGACCCTGTGGACCAGTGGGGTGCTCTTAATTCAACATGCTGTCATACTTCTCTTTAGCATACATACTTTTGACTCGAGCACACTTCATTTTTTTCATAGATTTCATAGACATTAGGGCTGGAAGGGACCTCGGAAGATCATCGAGTCCAGCCCCCTGCCCAATAAAGAAGTTCTTCCTTATGTCCAGCCTGAAACGGTCTTGAAGTAGTTTGTGACCATTCGACCTCGTCATCCCTTGGGGCGCTCTGGTGAACAAACGTTCCCCCAGATGCTGGTGGTCACCCCTGATAAACTTGTAGGTGGCCATCAGATCACCCCTGAGCCTGCGCTTTTTCAGGCTAAAGAGCCCCAGGGCTCTCAGCCTGTCATCGTAGGGTCTGCTTCCCTGACCTCTGATCATGCGCGTGGCTCTTCTCTGGACTCTCTCAAGCTTCTCCACATCCTTTTTGAATTGTGGAGCCCAAAACTGGACACAGTACTCCAGCTGCGGCCTCACTAAGGCCGAGTACAGGGGGAGAATGACGTCCCGGGATTTGCTTGAGAAGCATCTATGGATGCAAGCCAGCGTTTTGGTCGCTTTACTAGCCGCCGCATCGCATTGCAGGCTCATGTTCATCTTGTGGTCAGTGATGACCCCCAAGTCTCTTTCTTCCATAGTGCTAGCCAACATAGCACTGCCGAGCCTATAAGGATGCTGCGGGTTTTTTTTCCCAAGGTGGAGAACCTTGCATTTATCGGCGTTGAACACCATCAGATTCTCGTCCGCCCACTTGCTGAGCCTGTCCAGGTCAGCCTGGATAACCTGCCTGTCTTCTGGTGTGGATGCTTTGCCCCAAAGTTTGGTGTCATCGGCGAACTTGGCCAGTTCTGATCGCTTCTGACTCCAGTGTCCACATCATTAATGAAGATGTTGAACAGTATGGGTCCAAGGACAGAGCCTTGGGGGACCCCACTGGTCACAGGACACCACGATGAGTGACTTCCATCGATTACTACCCTCTGGGTCCGACCCCGGAGCCAATTTTCCAGCCAGTGGATCGTGGAGGACCCAAGGCGACAATTGGCCAGTTTCTCCAAGAGGCGATCATGGGACACCAGATCGAAGGCTTTTTTGAAGTCAAGATATATGACATCAATCTCTTCTCCCTTGTCCAGGTGATAGGTCACCTGGTCGTAGAAGGAAATGAGATTGGTCAAGCAAGACCTACCCGCAACAAACCCGTGCTGGCTATCCCTTAAGATGTTGGCGTCGGCCAGTCCATTAAGGATGGCCTCTTTAATAAACTTTTCTAAGATCTTCCCCGGGATAGAAGTCAGGCTGATGGGCCTATAGTTAGCTGGATCCACTTTCCTCCCTTTCTTGAAGATAGGCACCACATTGGCCTTCTTCCAGTCCTCGGTCACTACACCAGAGCGCCAAGAGTTTTCAAAGATCCGTGCTAGAGGCTGGGCTATGATGCTCGCCAGCTCCTTGAGTACCCTGGGGGGAAGATTGTCAGGGCTGGCTGACTTGAAGGTATCCAGCTTCTCAAGATGTTCCTTCAGAAAGTCAGCATTAATGGAGGGCAGGGGATCACCCTCACCCGGACTTCCTGGCCCTGTAGCGGGCATGGGCGTCCCATGGGGCTGATGAAAGACTGATGCAAAGTACCTATTTAATAGGTTGGCTTTTTCCTAATAATTTTTCCTTAATAAAAAAGTTAGGAAAACATGGTGGGAGGGGAAATTATATACCCATTTTGGTTTCATAAGATGAAAAAGGACTTTTTATTGTCCTTGATGCTCAAAGCTAGTTGGAGTTCAGTTGCAGCCTTGGCTTTCCTGGTCTGCTCCCTACAGGACTGGACCAGTGCAGAATAATCCTCCTTGGAGGTGACTCCCATCCTCCATCCTTTGTAGGCCTTTCTTTTTAGCCTCAGGAGGTTTGCTAGGTCCCTGGAGAGCCAGGGGGGCTGCTGTGCCCTCTTGCTGCCTTTCCTCCAAGATGGAATAGACTTACTTTGTGCATTGAGGATCGCTCCCTTGAGGAACAACCACTCTTCTTGAACTCCCTTCTCCCTGTGGTCACGGGGAGCCAACCTTGATAACCTTGGACCTGAGACATTGAAATATTCAGGTTTCTAATAAAGGTTGGCTTTGTCACCTGCCACACATGTCACTGAGTGGGGGTGGAGCATGAAAGGGAGGAGGAGGGGCTAATAGTTACAAACTGGTAGGCCATATCTACAGTTGGCATAAACTCCTGGAATCAAGGGTACAATTCCGCTTTGACGATTACGCTCAGTGATTGTGAACCTATCAAATATCAGGAGAACATCATTCAGAAGAACTTTTAATTCAGTGATGTCTCTAATTTCATCAGAGTACTCTCTGGTTAGCAGTTCCCACATAAGAGCCCTTATCCTCCCTTGGCTTGCTGATCATAACGGACCAGTGTCTGAAGACAAGTCTGAGAGCGTTATGTCCATTTAACTCCATACTGCTCTCTGTCAGGTGACCTCTGCTCTCAGTCTGGACACCTATGGTAATAGGCACTGCTAGAATACAAAGAACTCACCTGGCCACTGTTATCAAGGCAAGTGCCTGTGTATAACATAGGGAAGTATGTGCATTGGTCAAGACATCAGCCTAGGGAGGGGGAGGGGTGAACAGTAGTCCATAAGGCAGGAGAGATTGATCATATATGACCCAAGTGAGCCCAAGAACCACACAGTCCTGCCTATAGCCTTTCTTTAGCTGCTGTTTCCTAGATCCAGTGGTTGGGTGAAACGTACCTCTGTTTCCATTCTAGATGCTGAGGGCTGGAGAGGAGTCTATATTGATGGGTCCCCTGTAGAGCTCCAGTGGTCTCCACGTCATCAGGATGTGTTTATCACAGCAAAGTGGCCAGAACCAATCTATTTTTTGGCACCAGGTGTGTGAGCTTGTGAAACAGGAAGGGTCGTACTACAAGAAGATGCACCATACAGGGAAACATAGTTCTGCAAAGCAGCACAGATATTGCCATATGTCCCTGCTCTTCCATGCCAACACATTCACACATGGCCATGTCCAGAATGGGTTGGGACCTGGGTTCAGATTTTGGGGAGAAGTGGGTGTTTCCATTTGCACAGGAGTTTTGGCTTTCTGGGACAAGTGTTAACCCCTTCAGTGTACCTGCCTCCCCATGGCATTATGGTGTAAGCTGCTCAAGGTTGGCATGAAGCAAGTGAAGTGAGGTCATGGCAGCCGACTCCAGCCCATGAAGGCTAGAGCACTGGGATTGGATGGTAGTAATCTTCTTTGGTGGATTCACAAAGGTGCTTCCCAGATGCAAGGCAGTTAGAAATGCTCTATACTGAGTCCCAGGGCAAGGTTCAGCACTAGGAGCTGGATTGGACCAGGGCATTTGCCATCAGAGAGTCAGAACACTGGATAACCCAGGCTCATTTCCCAAGATGGATGGTGGGGATCCTGGCAGATAGGGTGGGACATGACTAATAGTGGGACTTTCCAGTGCATGGATTCCTGTTCCATCCTGCTCTTGGTACATTCCTGAGTCTGGGCCTAAGACTTCACAGTGAGGAGGCTTAGCCCTCTGACCTCCTGGTCTCCTGTTTCCTCTGCAGCCAAGTTTCTTGGAAACCAGCAGCTGAGCTATGGTCAGACCCTGTCATTTGATTACCGTGTGAACCAAGGGGGACGTCATCCTTCTCCACGTGATGTGGTCCTGGAGGGAGCTGGCCTGAGAGTCACTGCCCCCCTCTTGCCTCATGGAAAGTTACTGCCCTGTGGCATCAGCAAGACATATACATTCAGGTAAAACGGGAGGACAACAGGGAGCTCCCAGCTTAGTTTAGTTTCCGTAGTACCTGTATCACTCTGCAGCTTCCAGGTTCTTTGCACTCAGATGAGTTTGGAGGGAGGAGGCAGGAAGACTGGCCTTTACTTGTTGTCCATAACTTCTCAGTCCTTTTCATATCTAATGGGCAGACTGGACGAGCACTCAAGCAGCAGATGGAGTCCCAAGCTGAGCTACTTTGAGTATCGCAGGCTCCTGGGGAACCTGACAGCACTGCGGATCCGAGCCACATTTGGAGTATATGGTGAGTGGGGAGGGAGGATCTGGAGGGATGCACCTGCATGGCCATCCTGATCTCAGAGAACTGGTGAGGGCCCCACCCTGTGAGGTGGAGAGTTGCCCCCACCCTGTAATGTGGTAAGTAAAATGGACTGCCCTAGAAATGGGGGAACTCTGAGGCATAGTGGGGGTAAGAGATTGCTTAGGGCCAACAATGAGTCAGTGGCAGAACTGGGAACAGGAACAGGTTGATTCCCAGTTCCTTGCTCTAATCATCATCCTGCTCATTCTTTGGATAAAAGTGCCGTATGCACAGAAGACACCCCCCTCCTCTCTGGTACAGGCGTGAGCAGGTGAGGCTGCATTTTGCCAGAGACCTGGGTGTAGGAGTTTAGGGTGAAAGCTGCTGGTTGCCTGTAATGTATCTTCTCTCCCACCAGGCACAGGATACATGGATAACGTGACCTGGGTGTCAGCACAGCCCACTTCTGGAGCCCCAGTGACCTGGGTAGAACAATGCAAGTGTCCTACTGGGTACCAAGGGCAGTTCTGCGAAAGATGTGCTCCTCGATACAAGAGGGAATCCCCCAGTCTTGGGCCTTTCAGTGCATGTGTGCCTTGTAGCTGTCAAGGAGCATTAAATTGTGACCCAGACACTGGTAAGGAAAACTGCCACCATGTCCAGTTACAGAGGGGTGGTGGATAATGGTCATGCCCTGTAGATAGAACTGGAGATGCTGTTGGGCTACAGAGTAATGACAATTACATGGTTTGAGTGGGAATCATAGAACAGTAGGGCAGGAAGGGACCTCAGGAGGTCATTTAGCGCAGCCTCCAGAAAGGGAAGGTCATCTAGCTCAGCCTCCCAAAAAGGCTCAGTCATAGAAATGTCAGTAGTAAAACCTGTCCCATAAATCAAGACTGGAGATTGTTGTTTAAAAAGCAAGGGTGG